TACAGGAAGCCCCAGGCAGAGTTGCTCTGCCCCGGGCTTCCTGGAATCAGCTGCTGATCAGTTTCAGCAGCAGCTGACTTGGGGACGCCTGGGGTTCTTAAGTTGATTCTGTATGTAAGTCAGAACTGGCCAGTTCCGACTTACATACAGATTCAACTTAAGAACAAACCTACAGTCCCTATCTTGTACGTAACCCGGGGACTGCCTGTATCTCAAATCAGACTCTTTAGCATCTACAAACCAGACTTGCTGAATGTAGAACAGCTAACAATGAGGTTCTTTCAGTTTATGGTGTGAGAGATAGTAAAATATCATATGCTCCAAGGGTGCCCTCACAGCTTTATCATGAGTGTCATTATCATTTTTCCTACAATTATTTATATTATAGTAGAGCCCAGAGATAACAAGCAAGAGTGAGACCCCATTGTGCAAGGCACTGTACAAACACATAGACAGTTCCTATCACAGGTTTACAGACCAGACAGAAAAATGGTGGGGCCAAAGAAAGCAAGATTATTCCTATTACAGATAATAAAATTGAGGCACAGAGGCTAAGTGATTTCCCTAAAGTTACTGTCAGATTTCTGTGTGCCAGTCCAGCACCTACACCACAAGACCATCCTTTTTCTCTACTCATTATTATATTACACTATCACCTAAAATACACCAGGCATGGTACAGACTTACGGAGAAACAGTCTCTACCCTGAAGCACTCAGACTTTTAAAACAGAATCTTGCAAGGAAACTCTCCCATAAATTTGGAACTTGCAATAAGCTGAGTTGTATGCCTCTGACTTCTATTGCAGAAAAAAAATCCCACATTCCTTCTAAAGCATAATCTTTTTTTTTTAAGAAAGGATACAGATGTAATTAAAATGGAAAAAGACATCTGTATCCTTTCTTCAAAAAAAAGAATTTGCTCACATCCTCCAAATCCCAGAAACCACAATGAACCCAAATGGCCCTACTGCCATGTATGTGAAACAAAGGTGAAGGGTCTTTCAGCAGACATGAAGGATGGAAACCCTCCTCCCCTCTCAAAAATGTCCAATCCTGTCTCTTCTAAGTCATGCTTCCAAGGAACTTGATTGGCTCTCACTGAATTACGATGATTGAGTTCTCCAGAGAACAAACAAGCAACAGCCCCTATATGAATAATAATATATGTGAAATAGGAGATCTTTTCTACCACCTATATTCAAGCGCTGGAGAAAAATGTGTAGAATAGGTAGAAGG